GCGGAACCGCCGCACCGGAGAACCCCGCTGCCAGTGAGTTTTGGTTTTTCGATTTTTTTGGGCCAACCGAGGTCCCTTAACGTATTTTCATGTAGGGATTGATACAAAACTGACCGAATTCGGCCGAAAATGACTGAAAATAGCCGATCCATGGCAAACTGCCGTCGCAGGGGGTGGTGCCGTCGCTGGAGCACGGCGGAGCCGCCGTGCCTGAAATTTTAGAATTGGCCAAAAAAGGATCCTAACACTAATTTTGGTTTTTTGGGGATCTTTCTGAGTACTTGAAGCGCGTTTTAATCCCCAAAAGAAAATTTAGGGAACTTGATGACCGTCAGTAGGCGCAGTCAACCAGTTTAGCACTTTGGACATCAATTTGAGTAAGAATCTTTCACCTTATTCGCTCTTATGGAATTGAAGTCTAATTAACAATAATAATACGATATTTTAGGCGGTTTAGAAAATATCAATAATTAATTACAAGTCATTAATGGAGCCAGAATTTGAAATTATTCACTGTTGATTCTGTTGATTTATTTTACAGTTTAAATGCACGATAATATCTTATTGATTTATCTTATAGTTTGAATTCATGTATTGCTTGCTTCATGTGATTATGATTGAATTGAGAAACTGAAAATTAAAGGAAGTCAAGAAACTGTTTGATTAAGTGAATGGATGAAACAACAGCCTTACTAGATATCCTGAAAAATGGTGGACAAATAAGGTACATAGGGAACCCTATCGTAAACGTTGCCTCATACCGGACGGGGTATCGAGATTCGGTATTTTGATGTTTATACCAGACGGGGTACAGAGACGAACCATTTCACCCTCATATCGGACGGGGTATTGAGGTTTAGTAATTTGACACTTATACTGAACGGGGTATGGAGACGACCCGTTAATTGAAAATGTTAAAGGAAAAGGTTCACGCGTTGTGGAAAAATCCCTATGGACTCCCATAGATAATAGTAGGCTGATAAAAGAAAAAATTATTATTCCAACCGATTGCATATGAAATTATAATGTGCTATATTATTGTCTGTATTTGTTTTTTTTTTTTTGAAAATTTCGCTACGGTAAGTTGACAGTAAATGATTTTAGTTATGATAAACGATTTTACTTAATTAATAAGTTCATTAGTTGTTTTTTTATGATTTCTACCGATCTTTATTTCTGTGTGGGTGAGTAGCGTGATATTCTTACTGAGTTAGTGTAGTTTATTTTTTCATTAATCATTTCAGATCAAGAGGATCAGTATCTAGAACCCGATCCACAAGAAGATTGTGATTAAGACGTTCAGTTGTTTACTTCAATTTATTTCCTTGGTTATTAATTGTTCTTTTAGAAGAGTTATTTCCGTAAACCCTATTTGATAATTTCAGTTATTGTGTAAGGAACGTAAATCTTAACTATTTATTTCGCTTACACACTAAATTTATAATTTATTTTCTTTAAAATTTTCGAATCCTTATAAAAAAAAATAAAAATTATATAGTATGGAATTGCCATAACTTGTGGCATCATTTATGGATGTCTTTTTTTTAAAAAAAAAAATTTAATTTAACATGTTAATGACCCTTTAAAGGTAGGGATTATAAAATGATTTAAAAAATTTTATGAAAAATGTCAGCTCTAACAATAATTAAAGAGGAAACTCAGAGTTTTTTTTTTTAACAAGACGAGAAAGGTACATATGAATATTTAAAATTAAAAAATGAATATAAATTATGTCAACTTAAAAAGTAATTGTATTGTTCTAAGAAAAAAAAGAAAAAAGAAAAAAGAAAGGATGGATGAAACTACAGGGGATGGGAAACGACGTCGTTGAAGGATGAGCTGTAATGCAGGGACTGTCTGCGTCGTCAGCTCTCTTTATTGAATGCAACCACAACCTCACACCACTCTGTTCACATTTGTCGGCTTCTGGCACGCACATCATATGTGGACACATGTTCCTCGAGATCCCAATAAACAAATTATTAAATTATTAAATAAATTATTTAATCTACTATTCCACCAGTCCACTCTTACCTTATAAATTATTTTCATAATATATTTGGAGTTTCAAATAAAATTGTTTCAATTTTATTAAAAATAAACATGTAACATTAAAAAATTAATTTAATATTTTTTAAAAAAGAAAAAGTCGAATCACAGCCTTTACTCGATTAGCAAAAAAAATAAAATAAAAAATAAAAAATCTCAAAGGAAAACCCTTCGTCATTTCACCATCCATCTTCTTAATCCACATGTTCACAACTCGGTCTCTCTCATTATCTTCCTGTACCGGCTCAGTCTCTGCTCGTCATCCCTCGACCATCCCTGTAAATCTAAACCCTACCTCTCTCTCTCTCCCTTCTTCCCTCCCTCTGAATACACAGCTACCAAAACCATCATGGACGAATCACTGGCAACAATGCCCTCAATCTGGGCTTCCATGTACAGCTGGTTTACCCCCACCGTCCTCTTCGTCTTCCTCAACTTAATGATCGGCACCATTGCCATCACTTCCAGCTTGGCTTCTCACAAGTCCGGCGGCCAAAAACACCACCAGAACGAAGAGCTTCACCGATCTCCATCTTTGTTGCAGAGAGTCAAGTCAATCAACTTGTACGCCTACAAATCTCAAGATCCCATCTCCGCAGCTTTCCAAAGTTCACCTGAAATCCATACCCATTTCACTGTTCAGCAAACTCCCGAACCAACACCGCCCAATCAACAGTCTTATGTGTATAGATCTCCATCTGTGCTGCAAAGGCTTAAATCCTTCAATCTCTATAATTACATATCTCAAGAACCCACCACCGACATTACTCAAGAAACAGACACCCAGTACACTACCCGAGTAGCAGAGAAGGAAACCGAAGAAGAGGAATTGGGAAAACGAGAGGAAGCAATCAAAGGTGAAGAAGAAGAAGATGATGAAGGAGAAGAAGAAGAAGAAGAAGAAGAAGAAGAAGAAGAAGAAGAAGAAGAAGAAGAAGAAGAACAGAGTCTTGATGAAATATACAGTAAATTGAAGGGTATTCATGTTACGAGATCAAACTCCGATACCCAACCATCTTCAGGGTTGATGCCTCAAAAGCTGCCAAAGAAGATGAAGAAATCTGCAAGCACGAAATCAGCTTTTGCTCATTTTAAGGAAAACGACATCGTTGAAGCTCGAAGACCAGCTACCACGAGAGAAACCAAGCCTAAAAAAATCACAGAAGATGAAGACGATGATGAGGTGGATGCAAGGGCTGATGATTTCATCAACAGGTTCAGACAGCAACTGAAGTTGCAGAGGATTGATTCCATTATGAGGTACAAGGAAATAATCTCTGGAGGTAACGGAAAATGAAAGAAAAGAAAAAACAAGAAAAAAGAAAAGAAAAGAAAAGAAAATTGTTCTTCGCCTTTTTTTTTTTTTTCTTTTTTAAATATATAAATATATATATATATATATTTTTCTGGAAGAGTTGTATGATGATTGTAGATCTGCTACTGGAGTTGTTGACTGGAAGTATGTGTTGAGAAATATTGAGCCCTAATTTTCTGGAACGTTCTTGTTTGATTTTCTGTCTCCCATGGCTCTCGAGCTCTTGTAGGTGTTTTTGCCTCTGGTTCTGCGAGGGTAATTTAGTAATTTGATAATCGCACATCCATGGAAGAACATTCAATCATGGGGAGAAGCTGCTAAGGCATAAAGTTGCAGAAAGCCATCTTAATGTCGCTAGTAGTGGGTGCTTTTTTCAGTATTTTAAATTTATGTTCATAAAGTTTCTTGACAAGAACTAATCAATTATATTTTGGATAAAAAATGCAGTAAATTAATTTCAATTAAATTAATTGAAATAGTTTTAACTATAAAATCAAAGTAATTAAATTCATAATCCTCTTAAATTTGTGTATTATGTACGATTTGGGTTGGTGTGAAATATGAATTTCCGAAAATAACCCTGCCGATATTTAATGACCAATCACTTTGGCATATGCTTTGATGCTTATCTGCTTAAGCAGATGATGCTTCGTCGTGATGCACGTGGAAAATTTGGGTTTTCAGAACCACCATTCTAATTCCTCTAATTAAATAAATTTTAAATATCATTATAGTCTTATTAATATATTAATAAATTAAATTATAAATATAATTTAATTACTAATAATCCGACATAATTAATAAAATTTTTATCTTTTTTTATTTGTCAACTGAAATAATAAATATTAATTGACTAAGACGAATAAAAATAAGTCACGTTAGACTACTAAAACTCTTTTTTATTAAGATATTTTGCGTTAATCTAATTTTAAAAGAAAATTATCAATTATAAAATATGAATTTGGATCAAGTTATATGTTGTGTGTGTGTTTTTTTTTAAATTAAATTAAAATATAAGTATTAAATTTTTAAATATTATAGTTTTATAATTTTATAATATAGTATAATTATTACTAAAAAATTTATAGATTTAAAAAAAATTTAAATTAAAATTAAAAATTTTACTAGTCGAACAATTTTATTCTAATTTTTTTTAAAATTATTTAACTGCAGAACTCCGCCCGACCTATAACAATTAATGTCAACCTTCGATTGAATAGGAATGAGTAGCGCGGCAGAGAATGGAGCCTCCGCCTCCCCAAGGAATGACTCGACCGAGTCGGACTCAGGAACGAGTCCAGCTCTCAGGCAAGTCGTTCTTTTCATCAACTGCTATAAAATTTAACCTCGGATTTTCATATTGATGGATTTGAATTGGTAGAGCAATAACAGAATAGAAATATCCTGAATTCGAGATCATTTGTATTCTGATAGTACCTCATTACATTGTTTTTCGAGTGTTAATTTTGCGTGTTTGATTCTCTTCCCTTCATATGTTTAATCCACTTGGGAAAGAACGAATGTGAATTTCTTTTCTGTCCGGTTTGCGTTACTCAGATGGTAAGCGCTCGGGAGTTATAGTAGAGAATAGCCACCGTGAGAAGCTTGTGGGAATATTGCATGAAACGGGTTCAGAGGAGCTTGTTATCATCTGCCATGGATTTCAATCCTCAAAGGTTTGTAATGATTTAAGATATTTTGTTGTGGAATTCATTTCCTAAAGCTCAATGGAACTGCTGGTTGCAATTGCAGTTACTATTATTGGATTCTAGATGTAACTACAATGCTTGTAATCTTTACATTCGAGAATTTAAATGAGGTGATATATTGCTGAAATAGTTCTTATGATAAGGAACGCATCCCCATGGTGTACCTTGCTTCTGCTTTTGAAGGAGAAGGGATTAGTTCTTTCCGCTTTGACTTTGCTGGTAATGGGTAAGCCGATTGATATGAAAGAAATTAGTTTCTCGCAATCCTGATCTTGCAAATTTTGTTTTCTTTGAAACTCATTTTTCATCATCATTGTGTTCCTTGAAGAATATTGCATATTTACAAGCATCCAGTGCTGAAGTATGTCCATATCATTCAGAGGTTTTGCTTCAATGCTGTTGCACTCAATGTTATGCTAAAGCTCGATTGCTGTGGGCAACCTTTATGATTCAGTTCTCTTTTGTCTTTACCTAGTATTTTGTCCCTATCTCCCAGTTATGCCTCTTGTATTGGCCGTACCTGCCAAGTGAGGTTTATGGTTTTGAATCTCATGAAGTGCCTTTAAACACCACTGAAGGACCCATGTCTATTATTAGGTTCTGTCATAAGTTTTGGATAGTCTTGACATGTCAAAACATCATTATTGAGGATATACTATTAAGCAAGATTTTCAAGCTATTGGTATGGACCATATAAAATTTTGAAATGATTGCCATCATTTATTTTAGGAATGCAGTGGAGCGAGTTGAGACGGTTATACCATCCCACATGCTGTCCAATTAGCTTCATTATCATCCATCTTATCCTATGTTGTTTGTACTTGGCATTTTTGGTTCCATACACATGTCAACACAATATGAACCTGGTGTGGGTATGAAATACAAGTTAGGCACTTGATGTGCATCCCCAAAATGTTACTGCGCATAAGAAGGAAAACTTTTATCACCCCGGAGCATTTCACTCATAATGTTGTTGTTTGTTGATTTGTTGAATGCGACAAGAGAGGATGATGGTGGATGTAAATTATCAAGGAAAGGCTT